CAAAAGGCGCCCGCCCGCCCCGTGGCCGCCGCAGCTAGCCTGGGAACCCCGAGGGCCAAGGGGCTGCACCGCCTGGGGCAGTTAGGAGTTCCGAGAGTGACGGGGACCGCGAAGCTCCGGGCCGGAGGCACTGTCTGCAGCCTTGGCCGGGGCGCCCGCTTCCTCGTACCACGGGGAAGGAAAAGCGCAAGGAACCTCCGCAAACTGAATTAGAATCCATCTTCCACTTGAGCTGGGAATAGACTTTGTAAAAGATATTATGTAATGGAGTCTCGGGAAGCTCGAGACGTCTCCAGCGAAGCTGCTGGTGAATTAATTAAGTGCTTTAAACGGTCTAGGTAAATACTCAGCGAAGGGGCTGTTGGGCGACGAGGTAGCTTGAGTTGAATTTTAATTGTCCACATCCTACATTGTATGCTTTGTCGCTCTGCTGTTGTGGCGAGGTGACCGGAAAGTAACAGCTGAATTCTTCTCCCTTGAGTAAGGCCCGATAGTAGATTATTGCAAGTCTTGACTTGACACCAGACCCGTCTGTCTCATTCATCATTAATGTCATGTGACAGACATTGCCGGTCTCCTCCCCAGGCTGTAGGACTAGGTGGATTTTTGTTTTTGCTTTCATTTCTTGTGACTGTATAATAATTTTTTTTTAAAAAAGGTGATTAGTATCCTGTGTGAAAAATACTGGTAAAGAAAAAACTGACGCGAAGGAAAATGCGTTGTATGGAGATTGTTTCTCTTCAGTGGTTCTAAGAACAGTGGCCCCTTCACAGGATGCCTAACGGGATAGATAAAATTCGTGAAATTTGCAAAGTAATATGGATCCGTGGAAGCAAAAAAAGGGGGGTTGTTTAATCTTGTCTCATGGCAGATGTGAGGTGGTAATGGCCAACAGAGTCTGGCTGCAAAAAAGTGGCAGCAGAATAGATTCTGAAAACAGTGACTAAGGAACCCAAAGTTAATAGCCTGGCAGTGTAGGGAAAACAGAAACAAAGATGTCATTGAAATCCACTGTTTGAGGAACAAATTTATGCTTATGATAAATATTTTGGTTTAAGCACCTCTAATCCTGAAGCAAAGAGCCAGTAACCAGTGGAATATTCCCCAGTCACTAGCGTCAGAGCCTAAGCACTTCAGTAGTATTTGCTAGGGATGAAAAGAGTTTTTTGTCTGTCAAAAGACAGGGTTCAGGTATGTTGTTCATAAAAACAACAAAATCAGAGGTCATAAGGGAAATGAGATGTTCAACAGCAGAAAAGGTGGAGTGATAATACTATTTGAAAGCGAGCTAAAATTGGAGATGATCATTTCTACAACAGTGTAGATTAGACTATCTCCAAAGGCCTTCACTTAAAGACTCTACAATTCTAAATATTAAGTGGCAAAAATCATTCAAAATTTGCTAGCATTTCTGTTAGCAAAACTCAAGAAAAACTGAATACAACAGTTGTTAACCAGCTTAAAATGTTCATTTTGTACCTCATGTTATATGTTGTCTCCTGTACCTCAACAAGGCACCAGCACTTCACCATAGGATCTGCAAACAAATAGTCAGCATTGCATCATGTGTTAAAAGTTTCTTTCCAATCTTGTAGAGGAGATTATCTTTATTTCTCTTTAAATGCAAGTTTAAAGACATTAAGATGTCACAGATACTATTGTAAGACCTAGGAAAAACCAAGATCAGGTGATAGACAAAAATGTAGGAAAGAGAAAGCCACTATGATTTGGGAAAAGATGATAGGTAATAAGTTGTCAAGGTTATTCATGTGTATGTGTGTTCTTTAAGGCACTATATCATAGAATAGAGAAAGCTAGCGATTGAACAAAGACGAGACAATATAGAGTTCACCACCCATTGTTCCTGGGATTCTGTGGTAGAGTCTTTGGAAGGTAAATAGTTAATTGAGAAAAACTAACTTCCAAGAGCAACTTAACTACCCTTAGAATGCACTTTAAAGAATTTTAAAAAGTAAAGCCCAGAATATTCAAGTTCCATGTAGTCCTGATCATAAATATAATACAAAAAAGAAAGTGAGAAACCTGCAAGGGCCAACTGATCTGAAACCAGTGTGTGAATTAGGAGCTCAGTTATGAAGTCATTCTTTTCAATCCAAGAGGTTGCCAGAAGCCAGGGCTTTGGAATTGAGTTTCAAACACAAGAGTATCCACTCATTCCTAGAGACAAGATGAAATACAGAGGAAAGCTGGATGGACCTTACATGGTGGCAGCTGGGAAAACTGGTGGAAAGTGGACTGAGAAGAATCACTTGGGCACCAAATTTGGCTTAATGCTGTCTCCTCCTGAGGAGCCTATCTGAAGTTATTTCCTTATTTGTTTTACATTTTAAGTGCTCTGTCACAAGCTCTGGTGGCATAGTCTGTAGAGAATTGCAACTTTAACACAAAGGCCACACCTCTCTGGTGATTGGAATCCACCCAAAGCTTCAAAGCAATCAGATGAGCAATCTTATCACATGTGATTTATAGCCTAAGAAACCTGCTGGAGAGTCAGCTATGAGTCCTGACCTGAGGGCAATGAGTTGAGTGGGCCTGTCACATAACATTATATTATAGATAGTTCTTTAAGCATGTCTGAACCCCATTATAGGTGGAACCTAGAAAAAGAATGTATGAATAGGTTGAAGTGGGGGGAAGGGAAAACTAGAGAGGAACAATATTCACAGATGATCTGTGGGCTTTCTCCCTGGATTTTAGTTTCTGTCCCTGAAAGAAGCTCTTAAAAGGAGTGATTGAAGCTGAAGGAAGTCTTCCAAACTGGGAATGGGTGGAAGGATTGGAGGACAACAAACAGGTCTGAAAGGAAAAGGGCCTCAGAAAAGTTAAACAGCCAGTGGAGTCCTAGAAGAAGAGGCAGCCTGCCCTCTATTGGCCGTTGAGGTGGGGTTGGATGGAAGGGGTTTGCTAAGTTCTTGAAAATATCTGAAAACCAAAATGCTAAGTTAGGGGCGTGACAGAAGATGACAGTGATAGGATATTTAACAGAACCTAAGGTGGACCATGACTATTTGGAACCTCCTCCCTGACACAGCAACTGGTCCAGCTTCTATTGTTTTCACACATTGTGTGCTGCACATATTGCTTGCACCTTCTCTTCCTGGAAATGAAAACATTTAGAAGCTGCCATCTTCAGTCTGACTAGATTCCACAAGAGGAAAAGTCTCGCGACTTTGTAAAAGTGTGTGTGTATATACACATATGTATACACATATAAAATTTACAAAGGAACAGGGACAAACACACAAACACATCTGGCTCCTTTCCCCTTCCCCCCATCCTTCAGCTCTCCTCTCTGCAGGTTTTCACTTAATCTAGACTTGGACCATTTTAGGAACAGAGAAGCGCACCAGTTTAGGAACTCTGAACGTCTGATCTTGGGCCTTAGATCCGGTGCTTGTGCAACGTGTTGTTGTTGTGTATGATAGAGTCATAGTTGACCTTCCAGTGGATTTTCAGAGAAAGTTTATCCCAAGGGAGATTGCCCATCCTTCTCCCACAGTGCATCTGGTGGCCTTGAACCACAAGCCTTCGGGATTGCAGCTCAGCTTCTTGCCACTAGGCCACCAGTACAACGTGACCAACACTTATTATCCCACTTTCACTAACAGGGGCTTGTCTTATTCACTCCACCAATGTATGGCAGCTACTACCAATCAACTAATTAGCTGATTATCAAAGTAAATGCACAGAAGACAGCCACAGAGTTGCCCCTGAGTTGATTCTTATTCATGGTGCCCCCATTTTGTATCAAAGTGGAGTGTTTTCAGTGACTGATTTTTCAAAAGCAGATCACCAGACCTTCCTTCTGATGTGCTTCTGAGTGGACTTGAGCCACCAACCTTTCCGTAAGCAGCACGGCCCACAAGGACCACAGCAGGTACTATATGTTGTTGTTGTTGTTAAGTGCCATCGAGTCGCAGGCCACTCATAGCGACCCTATGAAGGAGAGACCTTGACGCTTGGGTGCCTTTCATCCTCTCTCCAGGTTCATAGGGTTTCCGGAGGCAAGCTATTATGGATGTGGACGCCACTCCTTCTCTCTCACCCCACCCCTCCACAAGCTTGAACAATGGGTTTATTTCTGAATCTGTTTCTTTCTTTGTGGAACATAGACAAGAAAACCAACCATATAAGGTATTGTGTAGATAAAATGGTGGCTCTTCTTTGCTA